TCCCTTAGAGGTGCCATCAGGCGCCGTGCGCCTCGGGCTGGGGGCTGTGGGGCGTCCCTTAGAGGTGCCATCAGGCGCCGTGCGCCTCGGGCTGGGGGCCGTGTGGAGTCCCTTAGAGGTGCCATCAGGCGCCGTGCGCCTCGGGCTGGGGGCCGTGTGGCGTCCCTTAGAGGTGCCATCAGGCGCCGTGCGCCTCGGGCTGGGGGCTGTGGGGCGTCCCTTAGAGGTGCCATCAGGCGCCGTGCGCCTCGGGCTGGGGGCCGTGTGGAGTCCCTTAGAGGTGCCATCAGGTGCCGTGCGCCTCGGGCTGGGGGCCGTGTGGCGTCCCTTAGAGGTGCCATCAGGCGCCGCGCGCTTGGGGCTGGGGGCCGTGGGGCGTCCCTTAGAGGTGCCGATTGCCGCTGTAAGGTGTGCAGCATTACAAGCAGCGGTCCATTGGCTGAGCGATGTGCCTGGCAATAGGTTTCTAGGGTGTAGTCTGACCTCTTGCAGGAGGCTGAGTTTCTCCAGTTCCCACTGATGATCCAAGATGAGGCTGTCACTTCGAGGTCTCCAGCCAGCCAGGTTCTCCTCGCCCCGCACGTATGCCACAGAGGTGTCCAGCACACGCCTGCGTCGCCTCTGCATACCTGCAGGAGAGAAGTGCTCAGCTCTAGGGACCATGGTTCGTGCTTCTAGATTGGAGACTGGATGGTAAGATGGAGGCTGGCCTAAGGAGATGCACATCTAATTGCAGACATGCTCCCTGCACCTGCACTGCTGCATGGCATAGGGGCAGATTTTGGGGGAGAGGGATAATGGCATGCATAGACTAGACACCCAGCATGGGAGTGGGTGTGCTGAGTTGCTGAAGGTGCAAACCTTCACAACCTGTCATTTAATGAGGATGGAAAGGGCCACACACCTTAATCCACTTAAGCTTTGCGGGGCAAATCCATCCCTGGCTTAAGTCCTTTTGAAAATAAATTGCCATCTCCACAATGAATCCCAGGGGTTTCAGTCCCCCGTCAGTTCCAGCACTGGAGTCCCCACAGGGCAAATAACCCGAAAGCTACCCTGAGTAGAGATGAGCTTCCCACCTGGACTGCCAGCATCGGCCACCCGGCAAAGGCTGAGCTCATACACCCCCGTCACACGGTTACTGCAGGCAGATGGAAGGCAACAGGTTACACACTGCAGATGCTCCTCACACTGCGGGAGGTGGCTGTGAGGGACATGGGGCTCCTGTCCCAGCTGTGCCTTGGTTCTCGTTCCAAAGCCACTGGCCAGTGATAACAATGTGGGATGTAAATTGTTAGATGAGCCCGGAGCCAGCTCTTGCTCTGGCAGTGCCCTTCAGCGTTCCTGCTG